TCTCTCACCGGAGACTGGATTTATACCCCACCCTTCACTTGGAGTCCCAGAGCGGCTTACAAACTCCTTTCCCTTCCCCTCCTCACAACAAACACCCTGTGAAGTAGGTGGGGCTGAGAGAGCTCTTTCGAGAACTGTTCTTTCAAGGACAGCCCTGAAAGAACTATGGCTTGCCCAAGGTCATCCAGCAGCTGCAAGTGGAGGAGTGGAGAATCAAACCCGGTTCTCCCAGATTAGAGCCCGTGCACTTAACTACTACATCAAACACATAACATATTCAGTTATGTTATATAATCCATCATCTCCTTTTTATATCCCCTCTATACTATTGCTTATTCCCTAAATCTTTACACACACACTTCTGCAAATAATAGAAAACAAAATATCTTCTCTCAGCTCTCTGAAAGGCTATTGTCTGCTTCCAGTATCACATTCTGATGCCCGGCACCAGTGCACCAGAACTTAGGAAGACAGAAGGCCCCGAAACCCTGCAAGAATGTGCTTAAGGGATTCAGGGCTCAGACACTTGAACACTAAAAAAAAACCTAGGATAATGCTCCCTCACCCGCTTCATACCAGTGGGATTTTGTAGATGCCCAGCAGACTGGAAATCTCGATGGGGATTTCAGACTCAGACCCTTCAAGAACAGCCAAAGGTGTCTTCTGACCACTGCAGTGGTAGTTCGGAATATTCCCTTCCCCCGGAGAGAGCAGGTCTAAAACACCATTGTAAGTCAACCTGGCTTTGAAATAGTTGTCATAGATGTCATATCCCAGGGTGACATTGGGCAAGATCCTGGGATTCTGATTGATCTCCTGAATGGCAAGGAGGAAGGACAAGATGACTCCATACTTTGTATATGAAGAACTGCCAAAAAAAGGAAAGGAACACGTTTTCATCTTTTATTCATGGAGAACATCAAGTTAAACCTCTGTTTCTTTCCCAGGAAATAAAACTGTCTGGATTTTATTCTTAGAACTGTACTCATAATGCATACAACTGTGGCATGTACAATAATAGGATGGGAACAATTGTAATGACAAAGGACTAATGGTAACAATTTCGGCAACATTTGCCATCTTGACAGGTAGTTTTGCAGGAGTCCACAAGGGGAAGGTGACATTTTGCATTTCAGCAGAACTCAAAAGTTCTATACCTGGTCTCATGACTGAAAATCAAAGAGGGTTGGGCGGGGAGGAAGGTTTGATGTTCTGCCCAGAAAACCTAAAATAATGATATTCTTTAAGGGGTCAAAAGGAATTTCAATAGGCTAGAATTTGTGGCATGGCCTTTGTCAGGGAAAGGGGTGTTTTGCTGCTCACACAGCCCTGGATTATTATGCAGAAGAAAGAATGTGTGTGTAAAGAGCAGTCATGTTGCAGCCAAATTATGGCAACCCCAGCAAGGGTCGTTCAAGGCAAGTGAAAAGCAGAGGTGGCTTTCAGTTGCCTTCCTATGCAGATAATTCCTTGGTGGTCTCTCCCATCCAAGTACCGACCCTGCTTAGTTTCTGAGATCTGGTGAGACTGGGTTATATACCATGCCACCTTCCCTTCCGAAAGAAAGAATGAGGACAGAAGAAAGCGTGATCTGCCCAGGACAGGAGCAGTGAAAGACTGTAAAACCTGAATCCAGTGGAGATGCATTCAGTCCAACACCAAAATTACTTACTGCTTAATTCTGATACAGGGAGGCTCATCAAAGATGACGGGATGCAGATAAGTATACTTCAGAGATACGATCCCACTGACGAGGTGGTCTCCTGACTTGTAATAATTCCACGGAGCATGTAAATCCTTGATCAATTTCAATGGGCATTTTGCTTTCAGCACGCCACAGGCGACATTATGGGGCAACAGCAGCAGCATCAAGACCAGAACCAGCAGCAGCATCCTGGATCCAGCCCTGCAGTCTTTCCCTGGCAGCCTCTCAGGTGCCAACTCGATGAAATGGGGGGTGGTGAATGGGTGCTTGTATCATGATGGCATAGTGATGTCACTTCCGGTGAACATTGGCGACGAAGGGGACACTGTAGCATTCACAAAAGCTTTATAGTGAAACCATGTGTTTTTGTAAATGCCAGGTGGTGGCTGGAGGTCTCCTGCTCTTACAACTGATCTCCAGGCGACAGTGATTCACAAAAGCTTTATTGTAAAACTATGTGTTTTTGTAAATGCCAGAGTATCTAAAGATACCACTTCCAGCTTTCACTGGAAGTAAGGTGAACACACAAACGTCAGGGAAGGTTTTCAGCCTTCAGGTGGTGGCTGGAAGTCTCCTGCTATTGCAACTGATCTCCAGGCGACAGTGATCGGTTCACCTGGAGAAAATGGCCGCTTTGGAAGGTGCCCTCCAATATGCCATTGAAGTCCCTCCCCAAAGCCCGCTGTCCTCAGGCTCTGGCCCCCAAATCTCCAGGTATATCCCAATCCAGAGCTGGCAACCGTAGCACCAGGGCCAGCCTCCCAATTTCTCCTGGGCCCGGCAACCCTACATGTTAATGCTTTTATTTTGTTCCAGCTCTGTTTCTAGATTCCTGCAGCAATCCTAATCCAACTGCATGGTTTATTGGATATCCCGTCCTATTGATGGTTCTGATTTACACTGCCTTGCTTTGACCTTCGCAATTGAATTCCGGTTGAGTCTCTGTGACAAAGGCAGATTACAAATAACATAGATCAATAAATATGATGAAATGTGTCAGTGAGAACAGAAGTGCAGTCATTTATTTATTTATTTATTTGTTATATTTATAGCCTGCCCTCCCTGCGGATGGGCTCAGGGCGGCTCACATTTGCCGGCGTAATATAGCCGGTTAGCATAAAACATTTAAAGCATTTAAAACCAGTTAGAACAATCATACAATATTACTTAAAGTGCTCGCCTTGGTAGTCATGTTGGCTCAGACCAAAAGTCTATCTAGTCCAGTGTCCTATTTCCGACCATGGCAAGTCAGATGCTCCAGAGAGCTTCATAGAATCATGGAATCACAGAGTTGGAAGGGGCCATCTAGGCCATCTCGTCCAACCCCCTGCTTGATGCAGCATCCAAGCAGGATGAAGAGTTTGGCCTGTGAGGAAGTTGATCTTGGCCTGCCCTTTCCTTTTTGCCTTCCTCAGAGCAGCTCCTCGAGGTCATAGGAAAAGGAAAGGCTTTCCTATCTCTCAGGGTTACATTTCAGTGGCTGAGGAAACAAGTATGGCCTGCAGCAGATGCAGAAATGGTGAGAGCTGATAAAACCCGTTTGTGATGGAATTAAAGGTTAGTGGACAGCAGCAGGTAAATAAAGAAGCTGCTGAGTCACATGACTGAGGAGAAGGGAGGGGGCCTTTTGGCTCGGAATTCTCAGTGAGTGACAGATAACTGTGGACAACTGACAGTTGAGAGAGAAGGTTGAAAGAGAAGTTAGCAGAGAGCGGTCAGCTAACTGGATAGCTCTGAGGTGGAACAAAAAACCCCTGTGGCTCTGTGGAAACAGCCTGATATCAGTTTGAGTATAAAACTGTGGCTGAATAAAACTCTGCTCGGTTGCCCCAAAGGCGGGGGAGAGGGCGTTGGGTGTTATACCAGTCTTCTTGGATGTTATGGCTGCCGGGAGCCTCCTCAAAGTTGTGCGACTTTTGTAGTGTCTCTGGTGATGTCACCATTGCCACTAGGGATATGCTTCAGAAACTATTGTCACAACCTGTTCTTTTTGGCCTTTCACCTTAGGCAGCCATTTCCAAATTTTTTCAAGAACTTGTTGATATTTATATATCTATTATTTATTTCAAACATTAATAATCTGCCTTTCTTCCTTACAGACCTCCAGGTGGCTTACAAACACAGATAAAGCATCTGCCTTTCTTCCTTACAGACCTCCAGGTGACTTACAAACACAGATAAAGCACATGGAACAAAACAGATTAAAAACATGAAACCAAGATTTAAAAGCAGTGCTCTGAGCTGCTGCTAAACGTATGCAAGCACTGTCCAAAATAAAACCATCGTCAATTGTCCCCTAAATATAAAAAGTGAGGGGGCCAGGCACACCTCCCTGGGGAGGTTGTCTCATATTTGTGGGGCTGACAGCAAAAAGGCCCTCTCTAATGTTCTTACCACATGAGTTTATTTGATTGTTGAGAAAGTGGAGGGCTTCTTGATTTGTGTCCTGCAAACTTGGTCCATTGCTTGTGTCCATGGCTGTGATGGGCTCAGGAGTCTCTTTGTGAAAGTTCTCTTGAATCATTAGGCTGCTTCCTCTTTCCAAAACTCAGGCTGCTTCCTCTTTCCAAAATTCCTTAGGGAGACCTCCAGTCATAGTCAAGAGACTTTGCTGTAGGGAGCTTCCCTCAACAATGGCATTTTAAAAACAAAGGATCTTTGCTTGCCTGCAAGATGGAGATGGAGCTGTTCCTTCAGGCCTTCGGATGAGGTGGCGGACATCCAAATCCATCTCCGCCTCCCCTGCTGACAATACTGGCAAAAGGGTTCCGCTCAAACAGAGCATCGTTGTTAGGCCAAATCCACCCTGTTTTGTATTTGGGTTGTCTTTTAGGAGAAATATGGTTCTTCATTATATAGTTACTTTGTGGTTTGTAACCCGCCCTGAGTTGGCTTGAGGGGAGGGTGGGATAAAAACCGAAATAAATAAATAAAATGGGTGTTGGGGTGCTTGAGTGAGGGACTCCCATTGGATCACAGACAAAAGGGAGTCATTTTTGTTTTAGATATTTATGCCCTGCTTTAAAGCTATGTGTGCTCACAGCCATCACAATGTTCGGTGGCAGTGAATTCTGCTATTTTATTATTTTTTTGGCAAATGGTCAGTTGCTGCTTCTACATGGAGCTGAAGGTGCTTTCTCAGCTGTGCCTTAGAAAAGATGGTGCTCAAGGGAGAGATGCCACACGCTCGGGTTGAGGGTACCAAAACCTTTGAGGAGATGACCAGAATAAGGTTCGACTTCTGCCATTGGCAGAAGGTTCTACTGAGTTACCAGTTTTAGTTATTTATTTTTACACTACCTTTCCTCCCAATTTAAAACCCCCAAGGTGGCAAACGACCAAAAACATTAAACAACCTTTGAAAACAAACTTAATCAAAATATGCCAACATGGACTTCCGGTTTTGGTGATTCCCGGGTCGGACGCATCCCATCGAGCTTTGATGGAATCATGCTGAGTCTCCGCGGACAGAAGGGGTCCCAGATGGGTCTGGGGCCCCCAGAGTCCTTGTAGGAGTCTGGTGGCCTGGGGTGCTGAAGTGAGTCTCTTCCGACGGCTGAGGAATTGAGGTTCCCTCCTACCCTGAGACGTCCTGCTATTGGGAAGCCAATATGGCGACCAGAGTAAGCAGCCAGATGAAGCAGGCAAGCAATCACACGTGAAAACGTTCCTTCAACAACTTTAAAGTGACAAATAGTGAGTTAATCGACCCCTCTGTTTAAGCGGCTGGCCTCTAAGGTGAATGGCATTAACTTATAAACAAGAGGTGGGCTGGGGAGGAGTTGGGGGTCCCCCCCCCAAAAAGTGAGCAGTTCTTAGATGCTAAACCGAAGTGGGAAAAAGCATAACTGACCATGAGACTCTGCAGTCTGTGCGGGAGACAGAAAGGTGGAAAACAATCAAAAGCGCATCTTAATTGAAGAACTTTCATTTTAATTCTAAAACCTTTCTTCTTGAGTAAACAATGTCTCTCACAGGAAATGTCCAACCAATGACTCTCACTCCTTCACAGACACTGGAAGTAGGTGCAGACTTTCCCAATATGTTGGCAATGGCACTGCACCCTCTGCTGGAGCAGATGTCTAACATCAACTCCAAGTTGAATGGAGTTCAAAAACAACTAACACATATGGATAAGAGAGCAGATAATTCTGAAAAAGCCATCAAGAAAATTGAGACAAAAACAAAAGATATCAAACCGAAATTGGAAGAAGTAGAAAAAGAGAGAATTTTAGATAAAGGTCAACTACTGCAGCTCCAAATGGATAGATCAATGTATGTACTGTGTTTTCAAGTTATTCCTGAACAGAAAGGAGAAAATTTAAAAGAACTTTTAAGTGAAGTTTTGGCTCCAATGACTGATCTCAAACAAGAAACACTACAGAATAATATGGACTTGACATACCGAACATTCAGATTTCATCAAGAAAAATAAGCTACCAGGTGAAATATTTGTTAAATTCTCCAAAAGATCAACTAGAGATGCTGTCTTAAAAGGGACAGCTGGAAAAACCTTGAGAATTAAAGATGAAGAAGTGAAATTTTTAAAAGATATTCCATTTGAGGTGAGAAAGCAAATAAGACAATATAAAGACTTCTTTCTTCCATGCTAATTCAACTCTTTATAGATGGATATTTCCGGAAGGACTCATATTCAGCTATAAAGATAAGCAAACTAAAATTTACTCTGCCCGGAAAGCCAAGGATTTTTTTGAACAACAACAAAGTCCGGGAAAAAAGGGAAAAAAGAAACGCGACAATACTCAAGAAGAAGATAAAAGCGACGATGAATCACAAGATACTTCAAGCAGTTCAGCCACACTTTCTGAGACCTCTGACTCTGAAAAAGGAGAAGCAGCCCCGAAACAACTTAAAGTTAAGCTGAAATATAAGAAGAAGCCTATTAAATTGAAATATAATAGTTTTTGATCCACCAAAAAACTATTATTAAAGCCTTAAGCCATCTTAATTAGAAAATAATAAATGAAACTTAGTGTTTTTGGCTTTCATTGTGGGAACATTATACCCAGAATGTACTTTATAAATGAAACATGATCCTTGTCATATATAGCTTCTGTTTTAGTTTTAGTGTTTTCCTATGCCCCTTCCCTATAGGATGTAATTTATAAAAACCAATAAAATCTTTCAAAAAAATATGCCAAAATGATGGAGGGCCAGTGAGGGAATGCCCACAAAACAGAAGAGTCTTCTCTTGGTGGCTGAAAGCAATGGTAGAGGCAGATAGAGGAATCTGTTGCCATGCAGCCGCTTTAGATGGCATATTAAAGGCTCTTTTTTAATATCACTGCCTTGCTGAACTGTGAAGAGTGTGTGCCAGGGCAATGGACAGAGCTGTGTTCCCAAGAGAAGTGCTTTATGCTGGAGTATGGAATGTACACTTTGGCCCAGGGGAGCCTTGTGCCTAAGAAGTAGGCCAAGCCAGATGTGGACCCGGGACTACAGAAGCCTTCTGCTACTGAACTCCTGCATCAACACCAAGCAACAGGATGCAGGCCAGCAGGCCTGACTTCCATGCACGCAGAGACAGCAGCAGACCAGAGGAGAAGCCGTGTTCCGATAAAGGACGGATATCCCTGAACAGAAGCCATGAAGGAATCTCTTCTCCATCATGCAAGCATCTTCTCTCCCCCCCCCCCCAACACCTTCATGTGTTAACTTCACCTGGAAAAACACACATTCCTTTTCCCTTCTGAGCCAGCCTAAAACAAAAGGATGTGCCCAGCGACAGACAATAGCAGCGATCCAGTCTTCCTATCCCCCATCAAGATAACACCGCTGTCAAGTATCCAATTGTTAATACAAAGCACTGGTCCTTCAACATGATTGGTTCTCTTCATTCTCTCCTTTGACTCACCCCCTTTCCCCAGAGGTGTCACTCCCTGCTGACCATTAATTCTCAATTGCCCAACTATTAATCCCTTTATGCCCCATCCAGAGTTTAAGTTTTTTAGTATTTCCTAGGAACCATGTGAACACATGGGCCTTGTGCATTTTAGGTATTTAAGGAGAGTCCTTCCTCAGCTCAGTCTCTTGTGTTTTGCCTCTTGCTTCTTCCCCTTCTAATCCCATCCTAATTGTTAGTTCCATCCCAGGCAGTCTGGAACCATTCCACATGTGTTGCTGGTCAACTCACAACCCCTTCCCCTATTTTATTCCATTCTTCGCTGCATGATCTACTTGTCTCTTCAGACAGGTAAAGTATTGCCTACCAACAATATTCCTGCTCATGCAAACGTTGCTGTCCTTTCAACTCTGATTTCCTAGCTCTGCATTGTATGTGTGAATGTTTGAATATTATTTGTTTGCTTGAGAACATTTAGCAAAGAAATCAGTTATTTTAGTAATCCTGCCTTTTCATCTATTCATCGGCACTGGGTATTCTGACTCCCGTATACACAGGTTATGGTTCCATATTTTATGCCTATTGCCATTTAATATTGATAAATTCCCAAGATTATTAAAATATAAGGCAATCTGGCTAACAAATCTCCCGGGGGGGGGAGAATTCGATCTTTTTGGTGTCATTTCTGAGCAGATCCTTTCTTGTGCTTCCACCCATCTAGCCCCAAATGGTGGGTGCACCCAAACCAGGGTCACTGAAGTGATCACAGTAGCTAGGTAGTCCCATAGGTAGTCCTTGTAACAGATTTATGCCGATAAAGGTATTGTATTTGTATTTGTGTATTTGTGATTGGGATAATTATTTCCTCAGTGCCGGTATTAGGCATTCTACCAGAGTTATGGTTGCATGTAAATAAAGTCACAGGAAAGGGGCCCTCCTATTCACGTTCAATTTAATTGGTTCACTTTTGTCATTAGGTGCTCCTTCATATTCAGATCAGGCCTCAGTATGATAATGTAGCATTTGGGAAGGAAGATACAGCCCAGCAAGCCAGCACTGGAGGTCAAGATAGAGAAGACTTGCACGGCTACCATGTATTTCCCCTTTGTGCTCATGTAGGTGGGCACAAAAGAGATCCAAACACTACAAAAGACCAGCATGCTGAAGGTGATCAGCTTGGCTTCGTTGAAGGCCCCAGGTAGCTTCCTGGCTAGGAAGGCGACTATGAAAGAGATGGCAGCCAGAAAGCCCATGTATCCCAGGGCAGCATAAAACATGGCGAGAGACCCTTCGTTGCATTGCAGTGTGATCTGTCCAGGCTGGGAGTGCATGTCAGACTCTGGGTAGGGGGGAGACATTCCCAGCCAGAGGGTACAGAGGCCAACTTGAACAGCAGAACAAGAAATGACAATGGAATTTGCCAGCCACTTCCCCAGCCACTTCCTCATCTTGTTCCCTGGCTTGGTGGCCATGAAGGCCACCACCACAGTGATGGTTTTGGCCAACACAGAAGCGACGGCAACCGAGAAGATGATGCTGAAGGTGGTTTGTCGGAGAAGGCAGGTCACCTTCCTCGGCTGGCCAATGAACAGAAAGGAGGAAAGAAAGGAAAGCAGAAGGGAGACAAGGAGAATGTAGGTGAGGTCCCGGTTGTTGGCTTTGACTATAGGAGTGTCCAGGAATTTAATGAAGAGTCCTAAAACAAAACCATTGATCAGGGACAAGAGCAGAGGAAAGAAAGCTAAGCTGATCCCCAAAGGCTCTTTATATGACAGGAAGTTTGTAGCCTTCAGGACACATTGAGTCTGGTTCTTGTTTGGATGCTGATCTTCGGGACATTGTTCACAACGCTCTGCATCTGGAAAGAACAAGAGTGACTTCAATAACTGGAAGATTTGCCTTACATCAACAATATTCTGTGTTCTGAAATATTCAAGATAATATATTTTTGTACATGATATCATAGATCTAACAAATAGTGTACCTTTGAGTACCATTAGCTCTGGGCTCTCTGGCTAGACACTCTGAGAAAGTGAGGAACATGGAACTATATTTACTTTTGGTCTGATTCAGAAAGGTTGTTACTATCTTCTTATCAATCGAAAACCCGAAAAAAAACTGTGACAATATGACGCTAAACAATATTTCATTAAGAATCAAAATTATAGGCTTTGGCAACCCTAGTCATGACTGGCCCCAAAGGCTGGAAAGGGTTTCCTTCGTTTGTCTTTTTACTGGCAGAACCAAGCTTGGTTGCCTACCAACAGCCACTGAGGGAAAACTTAGTCCCACAGAGAAGCCAAGCAGCAGAAGTGTCTTCGTCGGGAGACACAGCCATTTGCCAGTGCTTCTGACAGGGAACAGTGGCTGAAGGGGGAGTGGGTGGGGAAGAGGAGCAGACCCAGCACCCGACCAATGGCACACAAGTATTCTTGAGTGGCG